CCACGGTCTTCCCTTAGACCCCAGGTGATCCTCCAAGTAGCTCATTTACTCAACCTAATTTCCCACTAGTGATTGTATATACACTAGAGGACCAATGCAAGAAATTCATGCACATTAAAAGAGAATTAATTAGAGGAAATATTTTAATATTGCTCTTTGACCTTTCTCTATAATAGAAGTGTCAGAGACAAAAGAAAATTATTAAAATGTATATGAAAATCTCCCTCCTGTCCGAGTCTGGGGCGCGCCACGGGAACCAGAGTCAAGTCCTCGCCCACCACCCACACGCGCTTCGAAAACACAGGAGACCCAGACCCGGCCAGCCCCACCCCCGTCAAGCCCCTCTGGGCAGGGGTGCAGCCTCAGGTCCCCCTCAAGCCCCGCCAGGCAGGGGGGCACAGCCTGAGGTCCCCTGGCCTGGCACTGGGGCGGGGGGTGGGGGTGGGAGTGCACGGCCTGAGGTCCCTGTCAAGCCCACCTGGCTGGGGGCATGGCCTGAGGTCTCCCACCTTGGTGCTGGGGCGGGGGGCATGGCATGAAGTCTCCCAGCCCAGTGCCAGGGCAGGGGGTGCGACCTGACATCCCCTGTCAAGCCTCACCAGGCGGGGGGCAGGGCCTGAGGTCTCCCGGCCCGGTGCCAGGGTGGGGGGCATGGCCTGAGGTCCCCCATCAAGCCCCGCTGGGCGGGGGTTGTGGCCTGAGGTCTTCCGGCCTGTCGCTGGGGCAGGGAGCGCAGCCTGAGGTCCCCTGTCAAGCTCCGCAGGGTGGGGGTGTGGCTTGAGGTCCCTCGCTCTGGCCAGGCGCCATGTAGCCTCAGGTCCCTGCTGTTTGGTCGTGATGTTACGGCATCCCAGCTAACTTGCATATTCCTCTATTATTAGTATAGATACTAGAGGCCCGATGCACAAAGTTCATGCAAGGGTAGGCCTTCGCAGGCCCAACTACCTGTGCCCTCACAGACCTGGCTGCCAGGGCCCTCGCAGCCCCAGCTGCCTCTGCCTCACGGCCCTAGCTGCCTCATGGCTCCACCCCACCTACACCCCCTTGGCCTGGCACTGCCCATGTCTGCTGCCACACACCCCAAGTTCCCTGGTTCCATGGAGCCCCCTGATTGATGGCCCTGGAGATGGTGGCCTGGGCCTCCCTCTGTGGGGCAATCATGGGGCGATGGCAGGCCCCCCAACCAATTGCATTGCACCTGCCTTGGCTGGCCTGGCGCCAGTGCGTGTCATAGCGTGGTCGTCCAGAAGGTTGTCCAGGCGGCCGTTCTGCTGTTCGGTTGTTCAGTCAATTGGCATATTATGCTTTTATTATTATAGATAAACCTGAAAGTATTATAGAAACTATAATAAAGTGTTATAGGCCTGAAAGTATTTTAAAAACTATAATGTGCTAAGCAATTATAATAAATTTAAAATAATAATAGTAATAGTAATATGTTAAGATGATCACTGGTTTTATATGCCATTGCCCTCTGGGAAGAATTCAAAACTGCTTTTCTCAGAGATTTATCTTTGTATGTGGGACCTGCATTGGGAGGCTCACAAAGACCTGGGCCTAAGGAGGAGAGTGGCAGCAGGATGAGTTTGGAGAGTTAGAGAAGCAGGTTCTTGAGGTTACAGTAATGAGTTTCAATCCATTTATTTACTAATGTATTTATTTATTTATTTATTGTTGGCAGTATTACAGATGTTCCCTCATATCCCCCCCTTTACTCCCTCCGCCCAGCCCCTGCCCCATCCCAGGCCTTCCCCACACATTGTCTGTGTCCATGGG